CCAATAAGTTTTCTGCTCTTTGCTGCTCACGCATCAAAAGTCTTGTGCCCGTCGCGAAAAAGTGAAGCCAAGTCGTATGAAGTACCGCGCCATGCCGCACCTGTCATGCGATATGATCATCGCAAATTCGAAACGTTTCCATTTCGGAAATGCGAGCCCTCTCAGGAAATCAGCGCCGTGACCTCCCAACATGTCTGACGGAGGTGTCCCTTGTACCGCGCGTGCCATGCGAAATGCATCTTTGCAGATCTTGTTCAGACGTCCCAGGCCTGCCACTGCTTTTGAAACTGTCACAAGACCTTCGCGCTCAGCCTATATACTGGTTCGGGTGTTCCAGAGCCACAAAACGGAGAAACACAGTGTTTTGTTACTTTTCTAACTTTTCCACCTTCTCGGGCAGGTGGATCTTCTTTCGCCTGACTGACTCTCTCTTCTCTGACTGTTCCCACAACTGTTGCCGCATCTGTCCATAAGTTGGAAGTTTGACATCTAAACTTCCTCCGACAATGCGTGACACAGCAGGCCCCGCCTCTCGATCATCTGAGGCAGACAGGACCTATGCAACAGACTTGCCAAGTAATCTTCAGCAAACGTGCATACCAAAGGAAAAGGGCTCCCGCTGCCGTGTGCCCAGATGCCTGGGTTCCATCGGGCAAGAAGCATGCCGTGTTCACCCCAGCGTTGTGGCCCATCAACTGGAAAACTAGTTGGCCATCTGAGACTCGCCAAAGCCTAGGTTTTCAACCGGGAAAAGCACGAAAAAAAGACTGAAAAGGTGACGTGCTGAGATGGTCCGGATTGCGCTCCTTCAGTGATGACCAGCAAGCCTTGTCAATGTTAAAGTTTGCGATTACAAGCTTATGAAGCGAAATGATGCTAGTCGAACGTTTGAACACCACCCTAGGGAGACCTGCCACTTGATCCTGGCTTTTCAGCTTTACGGTAAACCTCTTTTCTAGCAAGGCTTGATTGGATATGAAAATACGTATCCAAGGATCATGTTCAAAACGGTGTGCGGTTCAGGTTGGGCACTGCAGCTTTCCACCCTTGGCAAATGAACATCAAGCCTAGGTTTTGGTCGGTGCCTCTTCTAGATTTGCATGCTTGTCTCAGTACTCTGACACGGCTTCAATTCTAAGAGTGTCTTTTTGGGCACAAGTAGCGAGAAGTCATGGCTTAGGAAGCCATGGCTAGATCATTGGGAATTTCCACGCTCATGTGCATGCGCGGGACAGCGCCTTTGAGTGCCTGTAACATGTGCAAGTTCGTCTCTTAGTGGACGGAGTTGCTTCCAGCATTCCCTCATGCTCTCATTGAAATGATTGGCGTAGACTCTTCCATTCCAACCGGCACTTGCATGCCCTGAGCATGCATTCTTCTTGACAGCTGCTGTTGGGGTAGTCTGATTCAATGCAAACAAGTGGAGTATGCTTAGCACGAATAAGCATCAAACGCTTGTGACGTCTGGTGCTTTGGTTCGACGGCAGCTTTCTTTCTGTATCTTTTGAGTGTTTCAGGTTGTGGCTGTGTAAGATGTGTTTAGGATTGTTTGGGTGTATGTCGTTGTGTGACTGGTGCGCTCATTGCCTTTTGCCTTGCCTTACCATGGCCGAAATAGGCCCTCCGACCTCATCAAGTCCCGGAAAGCCTTCTCCATTGTCCAAGGCACGCGCAGGTCGTATCATCTGAAGCAGTGAGTGCCAATAGTCCATCCGGGGAGAAGTCAACCGCCAGGACCGCGTCTTTGTGATGAAAGACATGATGACCTTGACATGACAAGCAAACAAACCAACACTTTTTTGAACCAAGTCTCATGCAAAAAACTCATCGCTTAGGTCAGGGAGAGGACCCTTAAGCGCTTTCAGGGAATGATTTGAGGACCACCTGCGCAGTGGGCGGCCAAATATAGACACCACCCCATTTGCACACTGAGCAATATAGAGTTCCTGGATGAACCGAAACATCACTTCTTGAGCGTGATATTATCACCCGCAAACAAGAAAACGGTCGTGTGAGCCTGAGTCTAAATCTGAATCAAGGCATGTAAAAGCCGTGTCACGACGTTAACTTGCAAGGCTCTGAGCCCTATTTTAGCCCGCGACGTTTGAAACGGACCCCTGCCAGAAAATACGGTTTACAAATTGCCCGAGAGGGTCTGGCCACATTCAAATGAACCTGGCGGCATCTCAAGAAAAAAACAGGAACAAACGTGGACCAACGTCAAGGACGCAACAAAAACATTTTTTTTGCACCGGATCTGGAAGGTTCCGTGCAGAATTTCCGCCCAACCGACACTTAACTAAACTTGTTTCCCAAAGACTTCAAGCCCCAGCTTGCTGGAATCAGTCCAGACCAAGCGCCTTTGTATGGCTGACTAGACGGCAAACCTCCACGCAACTCTTGAAGCTGTACTGACAGCAAACTCCTACAATCCCTCACTCTCCTTTGTAAGCCTCATCAACTGGAAAATCAAGACTCTGCACTCCTGCAGAATAAGTTCATGTTGTGTTGTGGTTGAGTCATGTTGAATCATGCAGAATCTGTTTCATGCTTTGCTTCCAAGTTTTAGGTTGGCCAGGGCACAGTAGCCAGAGCTTGCACAGTACAGGCGAGCACAGCGAGCAAAGTGCGCCACTAAGGCCTTCAGTACCGACAATGCCAGCATGCCATCCATACTGACACCGAACTGATTTAACCTAATGAATGTTTGGCATGTCATACCCAGCAACACCCCTGAAAACAGAGTGGTTGGCCATAGCCAAAAACTGCTCCTATACAGTGACCGGTGAAATAAAATGTATGAAATTGTATGAATGCAAGTTTTTGATCAATGACCGTCCGCATTTCCAAATCAAGGACAAAGCCAGAAAGGTCGCAAGATCGATCAGCCAACAAGCTCAAACGGTCTCTTCAGCACCTGTTCCCCTTCAGGCGAAAACGCTGCCGCAAAGGCCGGGCCGCTCCCGTCACCTATCAAAACAATTGAGGAGTAAGGGACCGCGTTCTCAAACACACCAAACAGAAGACAACCGCGACAGCCAAGAAGTTGGACACTTATGGCAACTTAATGGCTATGCGGCTATTGCTTGCCTTCATCCCTTTCCCGCAGATCGCACAGAAGACACAGACATCTTCCTTTCAGAAACAACAGAACTGCTGAGAATTGAAAAAACAACGCGCTAAGAACCTTTCCGCACTCAAAAACACGAACAATACTTGAAAAAAGGCCTTTGGAAAATCACCATGATAAGTTTCGAAGTTACACCCCAATCGATTTGAAACAGCGGAGTCTCAAACTAAAACACCGTTCTGTTCCAAAGGTCTTTTTTTAAAGTGTCAGGTACGGAATTCTTTGAGGAAAGGTCAAATACTTGGTGTCGAACTGTCAAGACAAAGTCTTCTTGCAAGTAAAGATTGACAACTTTAAATCCGTAGCCGTGATCATATTCAACATCGTCACGCGATCAGGTCACAATGACTTTTCAAAAATAGATGGATAGAGAGCTGGCCAAAAAATGGCCGCTATAGACGAATCCCCACAAAAACAGATAGGCCAATAAGGAGATAGTTAGTAAAGTGCATGGAGAATCATTGGATAGAGAGTCAACCGCTGTCTAGATTGTGCATGGACAGATGCACAGGTACAGCGGGAATTGGGCAGATAGATAAACCGGACGATGGCTCAGAAAACAAACAGTTGGATGGGAAACAGATCAGCAGAAAAAAGGATAGACAGATACACAAAAGATAGAAAGATGGAAAACAGATAGGTCGACAGATAAATGAATAGAAAAGCACCTCGAAAGACAAACAGGCAGATGGAAAGACACATAGATAAACAGACAAATAGACAGGTAGACAGATAGGCAATTGGTTGGTAGTTAGACAGCTAGACAGATAGACACATAGATAGATAGGTAGGTAGATAGATAGATAGATAGACAGATAGAAAAGCAGATAGATAGACAGGTAGATAGACAGATAGACCGATAGTGATAGATCGATAGGTAGATAGGTAGATAGATAGACAGAAAGGTAGACAGATAGATAGACAGATAGATAGATAGATAGATAGATAGATAACCGGGCACTCCAGCCACCTTTCCATCCATCAATGTGTTCGCTTTGCCGTTTGCAAAACAACCAACCTCACCGATAGGTGCCCTATCTTTGAAACTTCCGCCGCCGCCTTGTGCGGTACTACCGGTATTAAAAAATACCATGCCAGTTCCGCCTTTGATGACCAACATTTAATTAATAGCCCTGGCCCTTGAGCCCTGGATTCTCCTAGGCGCCCAAAGAAATCCCAAGAAACTGGACGCTGTGCCTGGATCCCCCAGGATCATGCAGGGCCTCCCAGGAGCCGTGTGCCTCAGCAAGCCATTGGACCACCGATGCTCCCGCCGCAGATTTACAATAGAAAAAGGGAGAAAGAGACCAAATGGCAGGCACGCGCAGTCATGTGATTGCATGTTACATGATTTTGGTATCCGCATTGATTCTCAGTAGCGCAAATTCCTTTGCATGTTGCCGTGAACAAAACCTGCCCGTAGCTTGATGACCCTGTCTTCAACCAGTTTAATCCTTTGATCCGCTCTTGATGCATCAAACCGAAGGTTCCTGGTTCGACGGAGAGATTCCAAGGAAAGGTTTGGCCTAGTACCAAACTATCCTACGCTTACCATATCTATCAGCATCTTACACCTTTCTCGCGTAGATTCAACGGATGCCCAGGCACAATTACTACATAAACTCTTCCGGTCTTGTGCCGCAGTAGCAGTTTCTTGGTATCAGCCAGCTCGTAAAGTCTCGAAACACACACTTTCGTACATCCCGGACAATCCCTTGTTGTTAGTTAGTCACTTAGTGCAGCTATCATTCTCTGAATGAAGTTTCGATTGATGAAAGTATATATAGCATATCGAAGAGACGGGTTGAACAGTATGTGGTCAAGTTCTTCATGGAAAGTTTGAACTACGAAGTGGAAGTCAGAGAGCGGGAAAAGCAGAGCTTGAAGCCTCGCAGCAAGGAAGCCTCACAGCAAAGGAGTCTCACAGCAAAGGAGTCTCACCACCGCAAAGAAGTCTCGCAGCAAAGTCTCGCAGCAAAGATGTCTTGCACGAAAGCTTCAGTTTCACAACTTGAAGTTGCAGTTTTTTGAAGGATGCCTTGCACAAAAGCCTCCTTTTCACAACTTCAACTTGCAGGATTTGAGGGACGCCTCGCACTAAAGCTTCGTTTTCACAACTTCAACGTGCAGTTTTTGAAGGACGCCTCGCATGAAAGCCTCGTTTTCAAGATTTCAGCTTTCAGTTTTTGAAGGACGGCTCGCACGGAAGCTTCGGTTTCACAACTTCCACTTTTTGAGGAAAACCGCGCACGAAATAAGCTTTGAGAAATAGCGGACGCCCGAAGTGCCAGTTGTGCAGCACAAAACGTGATGGATGCACGGGGAAGGTCTGCCGAACGACGGGCGCAGAAACCTTCGCGCGTTTCCTTTGGGTATCGGTGCATTTTGCTTGTCTGCTTTTCTTGCAACTTGCAACATCTTGCAACTTGTAATTTTGAGGGACGTCTCGCATGACAGCTTTGTTTTCTTGAACTTGTAGGTTTTCAGGGAAGTCGAGCACGAATTGCCGCGCAAAATGTGCCTCGGAAGATGCATGGGGAAGGTCTGCCGAACGATGGGCACAGAAATTTTCCTGCGTTTCCTTTGGGTATCCGTGCATTTTGCTGTCTCTTCTTACACCTTGCAATTTTGAGGGGCGTCTCGCGTGAAAGCGTCATTTTCACAACTTCACAACGTTAAGTTTATGAGGGAAGTCGCGCACGAAATGCGTTTTTGAGAGATAGCGGATGCAGGAATTGCCGTTTTTGCACCTGAAAAGGCGCCTCTTGCACAGGGGAAGTCTGCCGAACGACAGGCGCAGAAATTTTCGTGCGTCTATTGTGGGTATCCGTACGTTTTGCTCTTCGCGCTTGTTCCTTGAAAGCTTAGAGTTGCAGATTGCAAGTGCAATCCTGCGGTATCCGTGCGATCCTCTTTGTGCAGGTTGCGTGACCCGTGTGAACTCCTAGGGTATCCGTGCAATTCCTCTCTGATCACCCTGTGAATTGGAGGGGTGAAACTTGGGCGCTAGGATTTGAAAGTCTTAATGCACGGGTGTTGAGGAAGGTGGCGGCACTTAAAAAAACGCAACGCCTACCCATTTCATCACATTTCATCACTACAAAATCATGACCCCAGCCCCCCGTCAGAAATCTTGTAAATTACGGCATGCAGGATACTCTCGGGCAGTCATCTTGAACAAAGTTCGCCTCTGCAAAATCAACACCCAGAGATACGGTCATGAAACCGCCCCATTTTATGTAGCCAAGAGTTGGGGTAAGTTTCATGAAGCCATCCCGTTTTATGTAGCTAGGATTGGAGTAAATTTCATGAAGCTACAACATTTTCCTATAGACCCAAACCTTGCCTTCGAATCAGGGGCTCCCATTCTACAAAAATCAATCCCTTGGATAAGCTGGGCGCCTAGAGGGGACGACCTCCTGGGAAGTATTTTAGCATATTTTGGTGGACCTAAGGGGGCTGCCATTTTATAGGCGCAAAAAATGCATTCGAACTGCGGCTCCCTGTATAGGGGGCAACCCCCTTGGATCAATTCCATCGGTGTTCGGTCCGCCTAGGGTCTTTAGTTGGAAGTGAGCACAAGGTACGTGAAGTTCTGTGGGGCTAGTATGGCTAGAAATATCAATGGTCATATCTATGGGGATACCTATGGCCTATGGAGATTCGCCAGGGGCTCCCACTTGGGTTGAATAAGACAGGCAACGCGCCAATTTTTCCTGTGTTGCTTTTGGTTTTTTTGGTGAGGTTCCAGAAGCCTTCGTGTCTTCCATGTTTAACTGTGTGAAAATCCACAGTGGCCGGGCAGGTCCATTGCGTTTAAACAAAAAGGTAATTAAACAAAACCGGCTGTGTCCGATATAAAACACGACCCTCAAGTTATATAGGGTGTTTTTTTTTAAACGCCTGTGCCCCTATAGAATCCAAACCCCAGGTTACATAGGCGATGTTCTGCAAATACCTGTGTCCCCCGTGCAAAACCCCAGGTACATAGGCTATTTTCAATATTACCCGTGTCCCCTATCAAAACCCCCGGTGTGTCTCAACACACCTGTGCTCGCTATATACCCAGGGCACCAATGCACCGTATAAAATCACAGCCCGCACTATTTCATGTTCCCAGAACACATCCAGGCACTATATCAAAATCCCATAAATCCCGGGTACATTGATTCTATGAGGTTATTCGAACGGGGATCCTTTTTGTGCAGGTTGAATGATTCGCCTACATTTTTAGGGTATCCGTGCATTTCTTTGTGTGGAGGTTGCACTATCCATGTGAATTCCTAGGGTGTCCGCGCATTCGGGTTTGCAGAGGTTGCACGATTTATGTGAATTCCTGGGGTATCCGCGCAATCCTCTTTGCGCAGGTTATGACCCATGTGAATTCCTAGGGTGTCCGCGCAGTTACACTATCCATGTGAATTCGTCGGGTGTCCTCGCAGTCCTCTTTGTGCAGGTAACATGATCCATGCGAATTCCTTAGATATTCCGGCCATGCCCTTTGGCAAGTTATAGCAGTCATGGGAATTCCTGGGGTTTCCGCGTGATCCTCTTTGTGGAGGGTACGCGATCCATGTGGATTCCCAGGGTGTCCGCGTAGCCCTTCTTGTGCAGGTTTCAAGATCCATATGAATTCCTGGGGTATCCCGTATCCCCGTTTTATTTTTGCGAAAGCTACGGGTATCCACGCAATCCTGTTTGTGCAGGTTACAAGACCCATGTGAATTCCAAAGCAATGCGCGCAATCTTTTTTTTGCAGGTTGCAGGATCCATGTGAATTCCTAAGGCTTCTGCAGATTTCTTTTTGTAGAGGTTGCACGACCCATGTGAATTCCTAGGGTATCCGTGCAGTCCATTTAGTAGAGGTTGCACGATCCATGTGAAGGCCTAGGGTTTCCAGGCAATCCTTTTTGCGCTGGTTGCAAGACCCATGTGAATTGCTACGGCACCGGTGCATTTCTATTTGTAGAGGCTGCACGATCCATGAATTCTTCGGGTATCCGCGATATCCTCTTTGTGCAGGTTACATGATCCATTTGACTTTCTAGGGTGTCCGCGCAATCTTTGCGCAGGTTACAAGATCCATGTCAATTCCTCGGGTATCCGCGCAATCCTGTTTGTGCAGGTTATAGGACCAATTTGAATTCCTAGGAGATCTCAATGCAAGGACCTTGTGAGGAGGATTTCAACAGGAGCTCCGCAAGATCTTCTCACAAGGTACCAGATCATGTAAGGGCACCGAAAGGATTTCACTAGGACCTCATCAAGAGCTTCTCACAAGATCTTGAGCTAGAGCATCATGCCAGGACCCTTAAGAGAATCTCACAAGATCGTCATAAAAGGACCAACTGCTGCTGTAGCGGATCTGGATACAAGAACTTCTTGGGAACCCCCACAAGAGCTTCATACAAGCATCTCGTCCTGCAAGGACCTCTTAGAGAGGATCTAAGCAGGATCTCCGCAAGATCTTCTGTGAAGGACTTGTACAGGATCATGCAAGGACCTCTTGGAGAGGAATTTAGAAGGATCTCCACAAGAGCCCGTTTATGCGAGAGGTTACAATAACTACTTCACTTCGAGATCCCCGCCCGGGGATTTTATTTTGAAGTGTATGTGGCATTCTACTGGGCATATACTTTGACATTCTTCCTGGCATTCTATCTGACATACTTTCTGACGTTCTATTCTATCGGGCATTTTTTCTGGCGTTCTACCTGACATATATTTTGACATTCTATCTGGAATTCTATTTGACATATTTTCTGATATTCTATCTGGCATCTATTCTGGCATTCTATCTGACATCTCTTCTGACATTCTGTGTCGCATCTACTTGCAGCTGAGGTCGGCAGTGCCCCACTGAGATCTGGAGCTCGCGGTTGAGGTCCGGAAGTGCCCACTGAGCTCTGGACCTCGCGGTCGAATCTGGCAGTGCCCAAATCTGGAGCTCGCGGTTGAGAGGAGGAGCCAGAGGATGAGAAGGCAGGAGGAACGAAGTAACCCTGATAAAACCTAGAGGCCTTCACCTGGCAGGCGGGGGAAAACGCCGCAGACCCGGAGGAGCTTGGAGAACCCCCCGCGGCGCAGACTTTGTGCGAGCCTGCGCAGTCGAAATGCACACGGACATCTCACAAGAGCCATTTCACGCGAGAATTTACAGGAAAAATGCCAGAGACCAAGATCGCGACGCGCAGTTTGCGCGAGCCTGCGCAGTCGAAACACATGGGCAAGTCACAAGAGCCATCTTATGCGAGAATTTACAGGAAAAATGCCGGGAGCCAAGATCGGGACAGAGTTTGTGCGAGCTTGCGCAGTTAAAACGCACGTGGACAAGTCACAAAAGCCATTTGCGGCGAGAATTTACCAGAAAAATGCCAGGGGCCAGACGGAACACCCTGATCAAGCACCGGCCTTAACTCTTACCGTAAGAAACCCTCAGTCTGGACACACTGTTTGGGGAAAAGGAAAGCTAACAGCTCTGCTACACTTCCCATGAGCAGGCATGGCGTTTTGGAGCTGTGAACACCTGTCAGCTATTTCAGAAGTAGATCCCTGCCATGGCACCATATCCGTGCTGTTCGATCGTCAGAAGCAGACAAGATTCTGCGCCCCTGAAGAAGTCAAAGACTGCAAACATGACATGAAAAAACACTTGTCAGCTCAACAGCCTCAAGCCATCTGCAACTTGAATCCAGACAACAAACGCGTGGTACAGACAACAGTATATCTACAAACATTGCCTTCCAGTGCGGACTCCATTGAGGGTTGAATGTGTTTTTAGTTTAGGGTCTTTAGGGTTAGTTTAGGGTTTACTTCAGGTCGGTTTAGGGTTTCTTTAAATTCTTTAAGCTTGGTTTAGGGATTCTTTGGGGCTATTTGGGGGTATTTTTTACTTGTAGGATTTAGTTCTGGTTGATTTAGATTTTTAAAGGATGTATTCGAAGACTATTTAGGGTTGGGTTGATTTGGGGTTCTCTTGGGATTTGACGGTTTGCTAATGGTTTCAGTCTCGGGCTTGAACCACTTCAAATAATGAGGACATGTTCAAGACATGGTTCAAAACGTCATTTTGACGCCGCCAAAGGTAAATGCAAAAAATGTACGAGACGCAGGACATACGTATCAATCAATATTTCGATTTTTTAAAGCTTATTTTGCTACACACACATATATATATGCATGTTCGCAGTTTGCGAAGAAAGCATGCCAAAGCAAAGCAGCAGCCCCTAGCAAAAGATTGCTTCGTTCAAACAGGCCATTCCTTAGTGGTCTATGCGGGCGCAGTTGCCGCATTGTGACATTGATGGAACCCTTTGTTGAAATTCAGCCCCTGCCAGCTCTTTGGAAAGAAAGATGAAAGAGCGCGCCGCGCCGTATTCCTAGTCTTGAGCTTCTGTGCGTTTCCCATTTCATTTACCGGGACTTTCAGCATCTTTCAGTCAATCCCTGATTCATATCTGGGCCATCCAGAAACATGGTGGTAAACGTGGATGAGCCAAGGAGAAGCCCAAATTAGTACATCAGGACTGCATTTCTAATCGGTGCTGTCCTCTGCAGCAAAGACAACGGTGTGCACAGCTGCACTGTGCCCATGCAAGCTTGCCAATATCTCCCCAGTCCTTAGCGCCACAATCTAAACGCAAACGGAATCGTGAGGCCATAATATGCAGCCCCCTTCAAAGGAAAAGGAAAGCAAGTCACGGTCCAGTCTGACAAAAGTCAAAGTCCAGCTGATCGTTGGACATGCATATGTCGAATCATTCCGATGAAAATCTGAGGAAATCTGGGCTATTGACGTTTCTTCCCAGACATAGAAGACTAATGAAGACTATATAGGTAACTAGGTGGGAGCAAAATTGCTTTTGCAAGCAATGAATAATCCCTTGATCTCACTTGCACCAGAAAACGGAGACCCGCTCAGGAGGATCAAAACAGGCCTTTCCCTGCAAAGCAACCAAAACAACAGCCAATGCGAATTGACGCAATTTGTAGTTGCGTGATGTTGTATGGTAGTTTTGGTATGTTTCGGTATTACGGGGCGTCCCTTAGGGTTATGAAAAACTTGCAGCCACAGACTGGGCCAGGTCAAAATATTTTTTTTTCATTTTTTTTATCATTTTGGTTAACATTACATTCATCATTTTTTTAATCATTTATTTTATTATCTTCATTTTTTTATCATTTTTTTTATCATTTTTTAATCATTTTTTTAATCATTTTTTTCATTTTTTTATCATTTTTCATCATTTTTGCTTCCAGTGGTGCAAAAAAAATCCGAAAAATAAAAAAATGCAATTTTCCTAGAGTTTTTTTCATTTTTTTATCATTTTTTTTATCATTTTTGCTTCCAGTGGTGGAATTGATGAAAAATGATAAAAAATGATAAAAAAAAGATAAAAAAAATGAAAAAAACTCAAGGAAAATTGCAATTTTTCATTTTTTGGAAAATTTTTGCACCACTGGAAGCAAAAATGATGAAAAAATAATAGAAAAATGAAAAAAATGAAAAAAATGAAAAAAAATGAAACAAAAATGAGAAAAAAATGAGAAAAAAATAAAAAAAATAAAAAAAATGAAAAAAATGAAAAAAAATGAAAAAAACTCGAGGAAAATTGCAATTTTTCATTTTTTTGGAAAATTGCAATTTTCCTCGAGTTTTTTTTTTCATTTTTTTTTATCATTTTCTTATCATTTTTGCTTCCAGTGGTGAAATTGATGAAAAATAATAAAAAATGATTAAAAATGAATGAAAAATCAAAAAAAACCCGAGGAAAATTGCACTTTTTTATTTTTCGGAAAATTTTTGCACCACTGGAAGCAAAAATGATGAAAAATGATAAAAAAATGAAAAAAATGAAAAAAAAATGAAAAAAACTCGAGGAAAATTGCAATTTTTCATTTTTTAGAAAATTGCAATTTTCCTCGAGTTTTTTTTTTTCATTTTTTTTCAATTTTTTTTTAATTTTTTTATCATTTTTCATCATTCTTCATCATTTTTTATCATTTTTCATCAATTCCACCACTGGAAGCAAAAATGATAAAAAAATGATAAAAACATGATTAAAAAATGATAAAAAAATGATAAAAATGAAAAAGAAAATGATAAAAAAATGAAAAACATGAAAAATAAAATGATAAAAAAAATGAACGAAAAAGTAAATGGAAAAAAAAAGATAAATAAAATGATAACCAAAACGATAAAAAAATGAAAAAAATATTTTAACGATTTTCAATGTGTAGCTGGCTCGGTTTTTCATAACCTTAGGGCTCAACCGTCACTCGCGGCAGTAAGATTCGATCACTTGCGGCAATGAGATTTTCCATCACTTTGTTACTGCTGGGGAGGGGTGGGGTGGGTTGGGATAATAACGTTCATGTTCCTGTACACACACAGGCACGGCCAGGCACTGCTCTTTCATCATCAGCTACTGCTGGGGTGGGGTGGGGTGGGGTGGGGGTGGGGGTGGGGTGGTGGGGTGGGGTGGGGTGGGGGTGGGATAAATAACGTTCATGTTCCTGTGCACACACAGGCACAGCAACAGGCACTGCTCGTCATCATCAGCTACTGCTGGGGGGGGGGGGGTATTACTTGCTATGTGTAGCTATGTACGTTGTTCATATCAATATGCATAATCTACTGGTTATATAAAAATAAATGCTGAGTTAGTCAAATTTGCTTGCAAATTCGTTCCCCCTCCCACGATGCACCCCCTGAATCTTGCACCACGGGCAGTTCCACACGTAACAAACGAGGACAATGTATTTGCAAGATGCCCCAAACAGTTTGGGGCAAGTACAAAAAGTACTAGAGTGTAGATGAAATGATGAAGAAGATGATGCTGATGATGATGATGATGATGACGATGACGATGACGATGATGATGATGATGATGATGATGATGATGATGATGATGACAATGACGGCAAATGACGGCAAAGAGGAGGATGAGGAGGATGATGATGAGGAGAAGAAGGTTAATGATGATGTGCTAGGTATGTAAGTAAAGTTTCCACCCTAAACCCTGCCATGGAGATACACGGATCACTACGCTCGCTCAACAGCTACAAGTCTAGTCGCGGTCGCGCCGTTCTATGTAAATCCTAACCTGAGGCTATTGCCATGGTATCTATAACCAATATATCAACCGTAGCGTTATATATACCCAACTGCAAAACGAAAAGACATGAAAAACACAGCCGAGCTGAAATTCCACCTGGATAAAAGCCGGTCTTTCTTTCTCTCCTTTCATTCACTATCTCTGGGTCCGCACCAAATGCTATCAAAAGCCATATGTTTTACCTATGGTAACCGAGTCGAATAGCGCCCTAAAAAGTTGTTCCAACCCTCTTTGTTAGATCCCCTTCAAAGGATACAGACATGATCTAAACTTCAATCAAGACATCAATGAAAACAAATGAAATCTTGTACAACAGAAAGAAGTTAACGTAAACCTTCTGTACGTCAGCGTTGCAATGGTTCCAGTCAATGTTTAGAAATCACATGGATAGAAGACAAGTATGTGCGCAAGTGCTGCAAAGCAGCTTACTGCCACAAGCGATTGGTTTTTTTATACCCTGGCATCAAGGACACCCACTTACCGCCACAAGCGACAGATTTTTACCGCCACAAGCGATTGAAAAGAAGCAACCGCGATCTTACCGCCACAAGTGATTAGGCCTTGAAATGCTGCACCTGCCACGCGAAAACAGCAATCAACCGCGGCAGTAAAAAAGAATCACTTGCGGCAGTCAAAATGAACGTAAAAATGAACGTTCTCACTGCCACAAGCGATTGGGCAATCTTACCGCCACAAGCGAAGTACGAGCCTCCCTTAGGGGTTTTAGAGATCCCGAATCCATCCCAATGCACTTGCAGCCAGGGGGACTCTGTGCTGTATTGCACTACAACGCCGTTGGCTCCTGCAGCGACGAAGCACCTTCCAAGAACACTCCAAAGGATCAATGGGACACCCATTCCACACCCTGCACTGCACCTCCCATCACCCTGGCCACACTGGGCTTCACATCGCCAACATGAGAGGCATCTGAATATGTGAAAAATTCAAGCCTATAGCGAGACAAAGACGCGCGGAAAGATGCGTGTTGGAACATGACAAACAAACAGTTGCATGGTTTGGCGGGTTGAATTTACACACGTTGCCGGACCTCCCATCCGGCGCGAAAGCCACTGAGCGCACGCCGCGCTCAAAGGCATCTGGATGCTCCAAGGCCAACAAGCAACGGCCGTCCTTTTGTAACATGGCACTGAATGAAACCCGTTACTTTATGCAAATTTAACACAGGCAAGCAAGCATCATTTTTATCGATGATCAAACCCCAAAGTGCACAAACAAAGCCAAGGAGCCACATAAACATCGTTTAATATTTCAATTCATTTCATCCTGCAAAACAAACCTGATCTGCACTTGTTTGTGTGCACGTGTTCGCATCATACAGAATCATTCACCATCGGCTCCTGCAAGTGCCAGCACCTCACGGTGGAATCGTCAGAGGCTGACAGCAGCTTTGAGCCGTCTGGTGACAAACGCATCTGCGCCACAGCTCTTGAATGCCCCTCCAGTAGTTTAGAGCTACCGTCCTGCCGAAACGGCTCCATAAAGTCCCATCTGCCAGAAAATCTAGCTGTGTCGACGGTGGACGAACGGCCTTACTATCCCCAAAAGCGATCACAAGGTGATTTATCTTTGGTTGTTTTGTTCTCCAAAACCTCTCCCAGGCTTGGAAGAGACAACGCTAAAATATCACATCCACAAGTTGCCAAGATCAAGATAGAATAAACCAAACTCACCCAAACTCAATCTCAACATACACAATCAATCACAATCATACTAGAATGATGGGTTTATCAA